AGGATGTCAAAGAGAGCGTGGGCGGCAGGTCCGATGACGCGCATCCGCTTCGTGGCGTTCGCTGTCGCGAAACCTTTCCAGCGCATCGGCGCGTTCACCTCGTCGTCGTCCATGAACGTAAGATCCTGAACTTCCCGAAAGTCTATCGCTTTCATGAACGCCTCGGCGTGCTTCTCGAGACCTGAGACTGTCAATGAGACGTCGTTCAACGGCGTCGAGGTATTGCCGTCCTCTGATATCGGCCAGACCGAGAAGCTCGCACTGAAGATAACCTTGTCTTGGGCGTGGTCAAGTTCAAGGTAGATTGAGCGGGGCGGATGCTCAGTCCCGGCGTGTCGCTCGAGGACTCGTGTGATGACTTCAGGCTCTGCGTCTGAGAAGTCAAAGTCGCGGAAGGTCGTCGGATGCTCAAGGAACTCGGAGAACTGCGCCATTTCAGCCGGAAAGCGGCGCGAGGTCAGGGTCAATGTCTCGAGTGGATTTGCGAGCATGATTGGTTCGCGTTTCGCGGGAGGAGAGCTTGCGGGGTATGCGTCGGTGATGTACAGATGCTGTAATGCTGGCATGCCCTCGATGATGTCGAGCAAGTTCCAGCCGTAGACAGATTCCGGAGTAACAATTTCCGTAATCTGCAAGTCGAAGTACGTGAGATGCTCGAGCGGTATGCTTGGGGCGCCCTGAAAGAGTACTCCGATGACGCAGAGCTCTGCCACCTGTGGTACGCGATTGGCAAGGATGTTGAAGGACAAGCCCAGGATTTGGCCCGAGGTATTCTCTATATGCAGAAACTTCACAGATGGGAAGGAGTCGTGCGAGATCAACTGTGTGGCGAGTGGCGCGATGTCTTCCCCGAAGATCGTGAATGTACGGATGCGGTCGGATTGAGTACGCAAGATGTGCTTTGTAAAGCTCAGTACTTCCTCGGAGGGCCAGTAAGGGTTCGCTTGTCGCCCGGAGCCCAGCTCTACATGAAGCGGGGCAGCTTTTGAGCGCTGAACCATCTCATATGCCCATCTTGGGCCTGTATGGCTGAACTTGATCTCCCTCCAAAGGCCAGGCGTCGACAGCGCAACCTACACCCAGTTAGCTGTAGTGATCGGTCTGTACGTGCAGAAGGGGTGTACCTGTCTCCATCTTTGGCAGATATGCTAAAGCGAGATGAGCCTTCCCCGCATGACTTTGACCACTGACAGACGACCAACGTACCGAGAAGGTGATCCATCCCATCACTTTGACCTTCGCTTCTTCGACCTCTCCGTTCCCTCGATCCTTGTCCCCCATGTCCTCATATTCGCCGAAAGACTCCTGCTTGACGAACTCGAATACGACTGCTAGAATCTCGGGTGGTATGCAAGCCGCGCGGGTCATTCGATTGCGCCGCGCATGTCCCAATCGCAATGCCTCGGCGAGTCCCGCCATATCTCGGTCCATTTCCTCGATGTCGGTGTGGCTTTCATGAAGAAACCTGTTCTGTGCGATTGAGAGCCAGAAGTCACTGTGGACGCGGTGGCCGTGTGAGATCGGAGAGTATACGCGGGTAAGCGGCGGCTACGCACTAGGGATCCTGCTCGTCATGGTGGTCAGGATTGGGTATGGTGGCGGTCATGTCGAAAGTCGTGATCGGTTCAAAGTCCAATAGAGAACAAGGCGCATGGCGATGTCGTTAACGGACCGGGACGACGAGCTGTGGCCAAAGCGGGCCTCCCACGTGGGGAAAGGTTGCCCGTAATGGTGGTTGTCAACAGAAGCCCTTGTCGCAAACCCTCATCGGCTTCCTTATTTCAGATCTTCCTCGCAATAGTATGGATACACCTGAGGATGCTATGGAGACTGAGGCGAGCCTACGCGCACATCGGGCAGAGATTGCATAGCTGATGCAGGTATTTTTGGTAGCCTACTGGCGCTGGATCGTCGGCTTGGGAACAGCTCGCGCGGGCACGATTCTCCCTGAGGTCGTCACAGCCTCCCAGCGCCGAAGAGCGCGCTTTCATAGACACGGAGATCCGTGAGCTCGAGCGCGTCCTACAGGCGGCTAAAGACCTGCGGAATCGCAGGACCAGCCTTGGATCTCTTCCTGACGAGCTACTGGTTTACATCATGCGCCTCCTCCAGGACACATATCCTCCCGGCTCCTTGGCCATATGGGGTGTCACACATACCTGTCGTCGTTTGAGAGCGCTTGGACTGGGATGTCCGTCCTTTTGGACTACTTTTTCGACCAGTTTCCTATCCTCTCTCACTATGACCCTGCCGGCGGTGCTCCCACGATCCGATAATCTCCCTCTTTCTTTGCATTTACGGAGGATGAAATCGCACGAAGTGGCTTTCGTCCGCAATCAACTCATTGGACTATGCGGCTCTCGCATACAGACCGTCTATCTTGAGCCCACCAGCGTCAGTGATGCCACGGTCCTGATCAATGCGTTCATATCGAATGAACTCTCGTCACTCGAAAACCTACAACTCAAGATTCCCCCATCTTGGGTTGTGAACGTCCATCTGCCGGCCTCGGAGAACATACCCCCTCATCTCGCCAAACTGGCCCTTGATGGTGTACCTTTCAAATATAGCTCCCCAATCTATAACAATCTTCGAAGCCTGTCCATTACTCGCCCACCGGGCTCTCTTGAACTGTCATATTATGATGTGAAGGATCTTGCTACCCGCATGCAGAGGGTCGAGCTATTGGCTCTCAATCATTGCACAGATGTTCGCTCGTTCGCGGACGCTAACGCTCGACGACTTCCCATGATCAAACAACCTTCCTCGCTTCGCAAATTCATATTCACATCTCTAGGCATCCGCAATATGTTGATGTCCCTCGAGCCACATCCCAATGTGAATATGGAGGTCCTAGACTCCACTCCTCCCAACAAAGCCATGCTATCTGCGATGTCCGCTGAGGACAAGGGGTTTTACGACCCTCTCGAGCTCCATGTAGCTGAGTATATGCGCCCTAAAGCTGCACGGTTCATTCTTCGTATCGACGTCAGCGGGCGCACGGTGGTGACTTGGTCCTTCTGGCGTGAAGTGCCCGTCTCCGGCTCGTTCGCTGCATCATCACCGGACTTCTACCTGCAACGCTTCGCGTTTCACGAGGAGCCATTCCCAACGCACTTCCGAATGAACGTGCTCAGCAATCTCGTCGACCTGAGCCTTGACATTGAAGATAAACAGCTGGCCGAACATTGGGGGGCTGTACTCGAACAGCTGTCCTTCGTATTGACCTTGAAGACGCTGCGCGTTACCGAACGTACCTTCTTATCGCCTCACTTTGCCGCAGTCTTGCATATGCGGTCACAAAGAAGGGATGACTCGTACGACCTACTTCCCAAACTCAACGTACTCGAAGTCATGCCACATCCGTTCCCCACCGCAGTCGACGAAGATCACCTCTTGGCGGCGCTGGACGAGTTGACATCATTCCTACATCGGCGCGCGACTGATGGGAAACCTTTGTCCGTGCTCTGTATCCCGGCGTACTGGCCAAATACGCTGGACCATGCCATTCCGCGGAGCGCCAGATGGAGAGACACTGTCACGGAGCTCAAGCTACTCTGAAGGGAGTCACCATCATGCCATGTCATGCGCCCGTGCATCACTACATACTATCCTCCGTCAAATGGACCCCAAAACCCTTCCGGTCGCGCGAGACGCAAGATGCATCATGGAATACGTATTGAAACGACATGTAAAATTACAAAGTTAGTATCGATGTGCGTGTGGTATACAGTGTGATGCTTCCAGTGTTCGTGATATCATACAAATATTCATAAGTCAAGTTCGGTCTGTCATCATGCGGCAACACGCAATGAAGGGCCGGTCTTCGCCACCCTAGCAGCCGCGTAGCCTAACCCTGATACTGCCACCACCACGCCGCAGAACACTTGTGCTCCTAGGAAGTTCGCGTTTTCCAGATCGAGCAGTGCTCCTCCGATAGGACTCCCAATCAATAGTCCGACGCCAGCGAAGCTCAAACTCATCCCCATGTGTGCCCCTATGCGCTTGAGATCAGGGCTGAGGGCGGGGATAGTTGCGGATGGAAGGGACACAAGTGTGCCCTGAAAGATCCCGTAGAGTACGGCGAAGACGATCAGCGATGGCAGTGTCTCGATCGCTATCCAGCTGAACGCTAGCACCATGCAGACGAGGCTGCTGACGACAAGCGTGTTGAGCGGGCCTGCGCGATCGGCAAGCCATGCGATGGCGGTGCGGCCAATGAGCGATGATGCGTTCATGATGCTGACAAGGTAGTATGCGAGCGTTGGTGATGCGCCCGTCTTGGACTGCGCGAAAGCGCTGATGTAGAAGTACGGGATGTACAGCCCGACGTATCCGAGGAAGATCGCAACGGTGAACACGGAATAGGGTAGGGATTTGAATGCGCCCAAGTCAAGGAGCTGACGCTTGGACCGCTTCTCCGGTCTTGGGCGCATAAGCGCCGCCGCGAGAAGGTAGACAGCGAGAATGATGAAGCCCGTCACGCGTGTCGCCCATCCGAACCCGATTTGTGGTTGGAGTTGACGAAAGATCGCGGGGAATACAACACCACCTGAAAGCAGTGTTAGTTAGAGTCTGGGTCACACAGGTGCAGCACAATATGAACGTACCAATGCTGCTTCCGCATGCGGCTATACCGACTGCAAACGATCGCCTTTTGTGAAAGTACGAGCTGGCTAGTGCTAGACTAGGGGTGTAGAAGCACCCTGCACCAACCCCGACGAGCACACCCTGTGCAAGGAACACCTGCCAGTACCGGTCCGAGATGCTGGTGAGCATCATGCCCAGAACAACTGCCAGTGACCCCGCATGTAAAAGCACAGTGAAGCCACCACAGTCGTATATAGGTCCCGCCAATACGCCGCAAACAAGCAGCAATAGGCCTTGAACTGAACCGATCCAAGAGATGGCAGAAGGCGATTGCGCGGATAGAAGGTCGGTCTCGTAGAACGTTTGGTACGCGCCAAACGCGTTCAGTACTCCTCTAGATGGTTGCGTCGTAAGTATAGGCCGCCATACACATAAGATATGCCACTCACCCGGAGATCAAAGTCAGCAGAAATGCACCGAACACTTGAGTCCATGCGAGTAGGCCGCCGTCCGGACATTCAGGCAGAGTGCCACTTGGTTGATCGGGCAGCATGGTAGGCTCATGCTTGCTGTCGGTGAAGTGTTCGAATGAAGAGCTGCTGTCATGCTTTTCGGCGTCGACGCTCATGTTGGGGGAGGTGGCAGGGAAAGAATGGTACGAGATAAAGCCGAAGATTGACGAAGGCACTTTATAGTGGGCCGCGGAAAACCACGGAAACTGCGCCGAAATGTACAATGCAAATAGGTGTGAGCAGCGTGTACCTCAGCGCAAAGAGGAGCGTAAGCGCGGGGAGTCATTTGCCGAATTCGCGCTCTGCGAGCCAATCAACTGGGGGCGCGCTCGGGCGCTGCTCGGGCTCGCTCAGGCTCGCTCTGCGTGGTTCCAGCGTGGTTCCGGCGGGCATCACCTTCCGTGGGCATTCCGGCAATTGCCTCATCCAGTAAACGGGCTTCGTCGAGCGCTTCCGAATACCTTCCGACGACGTCGAGGCGTGGGTTCAACCCTACAAGCGTCCTCGCAATATGGGGCACTGTTATGCGAGGGATGCAGCTGCTTGATCGTAACGCCAGTCCTCAACGACATGGAAGCCTCATCCATTTCATACTCACCTGCCCGCCGTCTTGTAGTACACCTTCATCTTATACGTAGGTTAACGCCAAAACGTCAAGTCCCTGTACACCGTGCTAGTGTGAGCCGTTCCTCTGGCACGGGTCTGTCGTCACTTGGGAGGGTGCAACGTCGAGGTTGGTCCAGAACAAAACATAGTGAAGACGACATGTAGTATCTGGACAACATCAGGGTGATATCAGGGTTCAAGCACAGCCCGGAATCACGGGTGGATACACAACACCTCCCAACCGCTAGAACGTTCTGTTCTGTAAGGACAATAACATCTACGTTAGTCATGTTCAGCTCTTAGGTTAAGCTTGGGCACACTCACGGAGGTACCCAAACGGTCCGAAGGACGACGCCCAGCCTTCCGCGCTCATGGATCCCTTCTCCGGCGATACGCGTACAGTATGACCACATTGTGCGCGCACGTTCTAGGTTGCGTATGAGTTGAGCGCCCTTGCCAATGTTATGTCGATCTGCTTCGTCTGAGCTATCGTAGGAGTCGCTCTCTGAGCTTCCTTCCAGAGAGTCATTGCTATGTTCGTCTTCGTAAAGAAACGAGAACGCGTTATCGTCAAGTTCAGGAGGGTCTCGTCGCATGAAAGCAGCTTTCTCTTCCATAGTGAGAGGCTCTTCATTGCAGACCAAGGTCGCCAGGGCGCCAGGGAAGAAAGCAAGATCAAAACCTGATTCCAAAGCAGCATCCAGAAGCTCGATGGCAGACTCGCGAGATGTCAAATTCTGCCAGTTGAAGGTCTCCATATACTTGTCGTAGCCGTTTGACCCAGATGCCCAGGGAGGTCGACGAGTGGCTTCTGCGCGATAAAGGCACTGAGAAGCATTCTCGTATGCCGCGTGCGCGGCGGCGCGATGAGCGAATGTCAACATGTGGAGTTGTTCGGCGCGCCTGTCCGAGTTATCACTGTATAAATGTATAGATCAGTATACGCGAGGCCCTGCGGTGAGCGAATGAAGGATTCTCACGTTCCCTGGACATAGCGAATGAAGCATCGCAGGCCCTCCGCCTTCATGTCGTACAAAACGATCGGATGGCCATCGCTGCGACCTTCAGCACTTTCGCCTTTGGGAGGCGGTACTGCAAACATGTCCGCGAACAGGTTTGAATGCTTTACAAGCGCAGACCGAGGGAGGCGGAAGAGGGTTCCTTCAGCCTGGGTAGCCCATGTCAGTCCCATTCAGACGTTACGGCGGATCCTCGCTCACCAGGAACACGAACATGTCTGCTTTCTTCGTCTTGATGGAACACTCTCCTCGTCGTTTGAAGTCACCGGCGTCTTGAAGATAGAAGACGGAATCGCGTCTAGGCGCACTCTCAGCAAGTTGCTTCTGCTCCTCGGCGTGTCGAGCTCGTGCAGCGGAAAGCGCGGCGACCAAAGCGGCTTTCTCGCGCTCTTTTGGCGTCAGTTTCACTCCTTGTACCTTGCGAGAAGACGCGGAGGCACGTCGAGAAGTAGGCTTCTTCGTCGCTTGAGCGCTCGTTGATGGTGCATCTAGACGCGCTTTGGTGGGAGATGCTTTGAGCCGCTTTGAAGTGCGCGGAGTAGAAGCGGCGTCGTTGGCGCGTTTGCGAGTCGTTACAGTCATGTAGTAGAGATCAAACAGGGGGGACGACAAAGAGACGAGGTGAGGAGCTATCTCAGCCCGAGAGTGCTTCGGCGATCCGCGTTTTTATCTTAAGAAAAGGGCAATAGGTTTGACAATTGTGTGAGAGCAGTATGATGGAAGGCGGTACAAGGACAGTGGGAGTATTTGCGTTGAGATATGGTCGTATCGTTTTCTCGGGCGCACAGGCTAGCGAGGCTATGTCCAAAATCGACGGCAGTGGATGCTTTGCGGGATTGGTGGGGTAGGATAGGAAGACGAGGAGGAATTGATGAACGGGACGAGCTATATAGTGACCTGAATAACCCTTATCAGCGTCAGCAAGCCTTGTTGTCTATGAAAGGAAGATCACCTTGACAACTATTATCCGGGGTAGAGTTCGGTGGCTCCCAGAACTTGCCTGACTATTTCCGTTGTCTGCGAGGGGTGATTGGCCAATAAGCAACTCCTCTGGCAACTCGGTTGCGGGAGTCAAGATGGAGTACTTCTTATAGTAGCACTCGGGTTAAATAGGTGGTATATCAGGGCACCGGGTATTATGATTAGGTCAGAGGCGAGGTGGTGGACGCGAACAAGGGACTCGGAAGGTCGACGCGCGCGCCCGCGTGTTGTTGTGCTTTGTTGTGCCGCATGCGCGCGACCGAGCCTGGGTGGCTCAGCCTCCGGCGAAGGCCTGGCGCTGCTGGTACATACCGCACCCGATTGCCAGCGACTATCTTACTATCTGATAACCATGTAGTGTACAAGCTCATACGTTCGATTCCATGCATAATGAATACAGCACGAATATCTACACCCTATGTGATCATCAAGGTTTCTCGCACATAAATATCCACCCGTCAGAGTTTTCATTCCTGATGCAGTACAAGTCATCAGCGTACGGCTTCACTACGAACAATGGAGGCCAGACTCACGGAGCGTCCCAGACCGTGCGTATCACCGTATTGAGCATTCCCCAGGTGCCCTCGCCTTTCAGGCGGGTGCAATACTTCCAAAGTTTGATGGCACGGTGAAGCTGATGGACGAGTTGCGACCCCTGTCCTATCCGCGCCACCGAGACCTCTGGCTCTTCGTCAGAGCCCTCCTCGATTCGGTTTCTATGCGTCATGATACAGTCCGCGATTGCTAGCGGGCTATCGTCGTCCATTCTCGTCAGCCTCGCCACCATCTGCGGCGTAAGGAACTCTCCGGGATGTATGATGGCCACCAACGCTCCCGGAAAGAAGCGCACGTCTATACCCAGCTCAAATGCAGTGACGAGGACATCAATTGCAGAGAGTGCACCGAGAGGCAAGCCACCTTTCGGCCCTGCGTAGTGATTGTTGTACCAGCCCCAGGTTAGATCGTCCGATTTATCGCTGTGGCACTCTGGATAGAATGCGTCGTCAACGGTCGAGGTCTTGTCCGGTTCTGGCTTGTCGTCGGGATGCGGGTGAGATGCGATGTCCTTGATACAGTGCTTGTTATCATAGCACTGAAGCCCGATGGAACCGTAGGGTTGACGCGGCTGCGAGTGGTACTGTCCGCAGTAGGCGCGTCGTGGCTGGCGCGCCCAAGGAGGTTCCAATGTGACGAAATTGTTCGCAAGAAGTAAAGCAGTTTGCTCGTATAAGTCATATCCGCCGGTGCGATGCGCGAACACTAGCATATGAACACAAGCGTGACAGGTGTCCCGTGCTCCCCTATGTAAACTTGGTCAGACTAGAAGAGGCGGCAATCCAGAGCGCGCGACGCACCCAGTGAGCTGATACCCTATCGCTTGACGAAGCCCTTCAGCACCTATGCCATGCAATACCACAGGGTGATCGTCCGTCCTTCCGTCTACGTCTTCGCCAGGAGGAAATGGGATGGAAAACATATCGGCAAAGAGTTGCGCAACGTCGATGAGTGCGGGACGTGGAAGCCGAAAGAGAACATTCTCGGCCTGAACGTGATAAATGAGTAACAGTGCGACCCAGACAGCGACTCGGAATGCGCACCATGCAAACGATCATTTCATCGCCTGATAGCTCAGTCGGCTCTCCTTCTCCTAGAGGGCGGTACATGTAGGGATCTTGCAAATATAGCTCTGCATCCCTGTATGGCGCGCCGTGCGTTTTGGCTCGTTCTTCTTGGAATTCGCTCTGAGCTTGTGTAATGGCAGCCACTAGCTCTTCTCGTTCCTTCTCGGCGGCCTCTTCTGGTGTGAGTTTCGGGGCCTTCGCAGGCTTGGGCTTTCGCGGCGGCGGGGTGGAGTTGGAAACAACCTGTGGCGTACGCGCTGGCTTGACCCTTTGTCGCTTGGATGTTCGTAGAGCCGGTGTAGGCGAAGTGGCGGTGCGCTTGCGAGCGGGCATGACTGGGAACAAGACTCCGCAAGGATCCAGTCCTCGCTCGTAAGTTACTGAAAATGAACGGTGGTGGTACAGTCGCAACGCCAGATATGGCTCCCTTATAGATGGTGTTTCCCAGAAGGCTACCCAAGTAAGAGCGATAGAACAAAAGCAGCACTGCCTGCTACTTGTTCCCGATGTAGACAATAACAAGGGTAAACGCGCGACCCGCAGTTCACATGGTCCTTGTCGAAAACCTCGATTTTAATCGGCTTTGGACGGACAGTTGTCGAAGCTGGCGAGACCTTCGATATTATTGGGTTCGGAGACGTCCATGAGAGGTGGAAGCAACGCAGTGGCGCCGTGCAGATGGACGGCACCGACGGCTGTTGGAATCCCGGGCCGGCGTTGCCCGCCACGCACAAACGCGGCCACCTGACTTTCGAACACCGCGCGCGATCCCAGCTGGCTTGGGAGTTGATAGGTTCATGATCTTATTTGGTCCGCAGTCATACATCTTGAAGGCTCAACTACGTAGGGAATTGCCAAGCGTAATACACGAATGTCATGGTTACGAGAAACAGGCGTAACAAGCCGGCGTAGGATCCGGGGTTCTTTCTGGACCTTCTGAGCCAGGACCCGTTAATCCCCAAACGACCACACAGAGCGAATCGCAGACACGGCGTTTTCACGTTTGTCCCAATAGAACGTAGCTCCACTCTCCGTGACAATATGCTTCAATCTCTCGGCGCCGTCTTTCTCCACGTCGCATCGGAAGATCGACAATGATACTGCGGTCGCTCGCGCTTGAAGGCCTTTCGACAGCGCATCGACGTCGGCTGCAGCAAGTAGAGATCTTCGGATGATAATCTTCTTCAGCTGAGGTAGTAGCGCGGAGTGCAGCTTGAGGGCATGTGCGAAGCCCTGGGCAACACGCGCCTCAGGTTCGATTATCTCCACTCCGGGCAATGTGTCCATGACAGACTGCCAGGTGATACTGTCTTCGGCCCATTGGAATGATGCATGCCATATGGCCACCCTCTTGACGGAGCAGAAGTTGGGCCACATAAGTACGTGGCGCAGAGGTGAAGCGTCCTTCAGGGTGGGTTCACGAAGGTTGTACAGCGCAAACCTCCAAGTCTTAGGACCGCTGGAGTCCAGAGCATGTTCGAGTGCGATCTGAAATCCGTGATGCTCCGTCTTCACACCCCTGTAGTCGGGCGCACTCGAGAGAATGAGTGTCTCAAACCCGGATCCTGGACTGGAACACGCTGATGCCAGGTGGCTGCCAATGATATGGTCCACTTGAGTGAGGAGATTGTTCACTTGCGAGGCGGACTTCATCGCATTACAATCTAGGCTGATCAAAGTTATCGTCGACGCGGGGAGCTCGAGGCCGTTTACTATGGCCAGTGCGCGGCGCGCGTTGTCAGTTATGTTCAATGTCTGAAGCTTAGACAAGGACACGCTCTTCGGCGGGTGCTGACTTTGAAGACTGGGCAGAGGGATTTGCCTCAAGGCTTCCAAGTCAGTCATCGTCCATTCAAAATCTTCGAGAGTTGGCAGGGTCGAAAGTGCTCCGAATAACGCATCTAGCGTAGTCCATACACCGCCCTCCGGGCATTCCTGGTACCGCTACGGTGAACGCGGAAATTGAGGTATATTGTGGACCAAAAATTCTATACTTAGAAAAAGACGCTTTCTTGCGCACTCGACCCCCGCCGCTCGCTACGCTCG